TTTTGTGCTTCTGCAACTCTGTTTGACCAGATTAAACTGGAATATCATGTAATGAGTATGCATTTTTTCGATTTTAAATTTTAAAGACACTAAAACAAATTTTATTTGCCTAAAATTATGACAATTCACAAAGCACATACAATATAGAAATGCGTGAAATAGAAAATCGAGGTCACTACCCAGATAACCAAGACTGAGTGATCATATTTTGAAAAGTTTGCAATAACACATTATGCCAGTACAATGTAGCCAGCATTCAAACATAATTTGTTATTTCAACTAGTGTCGACAGAAAAACAGAAAAAAAAAGAATATAAATATGTCATGCCGTGATGCAAATATTATTGCATCAATCAAGNAAACAGAAAAAAAAAGAATATAAATATGTCATGCCGTGATGCAAATATTATTGCATCAATCAAGCAGAACTTGCTCAAAAAATGTAGCAGATTTGAAGCATAACGTGCTATTGTCATTTCATTCTTCATTTATTTCTATATTTTTGCTGTGTTGTTATCTTTTCGTATCGTGCCTACATAATTCACTCACTATGATGACACAGCTGAGTAAAATCTGCTGCAAAGTGCTGATTAAACCTGCGTGCATACTGCTGGCATACTGCTATCATTTGGCAATCGGGGTAACAAAGCCAATGGCTATACAGCGTTATCAATATGCAACGCCGAGAACTTTTGCACACATCTAATAGATTTAATCAAATATCTGCAACATTGCTATCAAAATCGTAGCAGATCTGTCGAATGCAAATTTAGCAGAGTGACATTAAAACCCGAGCAAATCTGTTGAAACTAACTTAAACCAAAAACATTGAAGTTTAAAAAAATGTTTTTTGTTTTGTTATATAAATTTGAACTTTTCGGATTCTTTATTACATACTGTAATTGTAAAAAAAATTTATCAATCCATACAGCCAAAAAAAATTAGTGTGCACAAAAAATTTAGTTTGAATAAAAACAATCAAGGTTTAACAAACTTTTTTTTCATTTTGTTATATAAATTTGAACCTCCTGGATTCCTTATTGTATGTACTTTAATAGTAGAAAAGGATTTGTCAATCCATATGGCCAAAAGAAGATTAGTGTGCATAAAAAATTCGGTTTTATCAATAAAACAAACCCATTTTATCTCTTGATATTTCTAACGCAATCTTTGTATCAAGTTGAGAACTTTTCGAACTATCTACGTATATATCTGTATACAAAGTGTCTGAAAAATTTTGACACAACCAAAGTGTAAAGATAGATTGGATCAATCTGAACAATCTCATTTACCATTTTAAAATATTTGCAATATTTACTGAATTATTAATTAATTAATGTAAACCAATTAGCGTGTAAGGAACAATGACTATATATTAACGTTCAAAGATGTTTTTTGGGTTTGAACCGCGTTAATGTTGTTTTTATACCAATGTTTCGGGAACATTTCAGCTCACTTTATCAGCGTTTCAAGAGCAACCTGATGCTCTTGGATAGGTGTTCCTTTTTATAGCGCCAGATTAGGGAGACGGAAGTGTAATGGAGAGAGTGTAGTACTAAGGGTAAGATAATGTGACAGAAGAAGAGTGAGAGTGTTATGGCAGAACGGATTGCCATATAGACTGGTCATTTGTCCATTATCTCTATTGATATTGTTTGGATGTTTGTATATCTTCAAGAACTCCATATATTTTCTATTAAAATAAGCTGTAGTTTTGTACTTGGGTTTGATCAAATATGATTTTGTAATCAGTTTCCAAGTGGTGTTTTGCTAATGCCAATTGTGAATAGTGTTTTAAACGCACTGCTGACTGATGTTTTTCTACTTGTGTGCTTACCCACACAGACATCCATCTATCTAGACATCCATTAGATGTCGCATGGAGCTGTCGACGTCTAATAGACGTCTAATAGAGTTTTTGTTCTGTGTGGGTATCATCCTACCAGTTTCACCTATGTATACTTTACCGTATGAATAGGATATTTTGTACACTTCTGATGTATCCAAAGGAGTTTTTTGTCTTTTGCATTGTTCAAAATCTGTTCTATTTTTCTTGGAGGTTTGTAGAGAGAGATTGTTTTTATGTTGTGTTTGCTTAAAATTCTGCCTATCTTATCTGTGACCTCTTGAATGTATGGAAGGCAAGTGACTTGTTTCTTTAAGTCTTCTGTTTGTTCTTGTGATAGCACGTTTTGATCGTTGGTAGATAATTTATTTTGATGTTTTCTAATTGCTTTGTTTATTTGTTGCCATACAAACTAGTGTGTCTATCATTGTTTGGTTTTGGGCTGGATGATGGTGTGATGTAGCATGTAGATATCGGTTGGTGTGGTCGGGTTTTTTATAGATGTGATGGCCTAGAAAACCGTCTGGTTTTCTTGTGATCAGAACATCCAGAACATCCAGAACATCCAAAAATGGGAGTTTCTCATGTTGTTCTATTTCTAGTGTGAAGGTAATGTTTGGGTGTTGTTTGTTGAGAAAGTGTAAGAAGTTGTAGAGTTCTTTCTCTTCTCATGTTGCCAAATAACAAAGGTGTAACCCACATACCGGAATCATGTTTGGGATTTTAGTGGGGCTTTTTTAATGGGATTTAAAGTGTTCCATAAATATGTTTGCTATAATTGGGGAAATTGATGATCTCATAGCTGTACCTGTGACTTTTGTTTGTAAAATTGGTTAGTCACAGATGCAGCTATGGGATCACCAATTTCCCCAATCATAGCAAACATATTTATGGAACACTTCGAATCCCATTAAAAAGGCCCCGCTAAAACCCCAAACATGATTCCGGTATGTGAATTAGGGACACAATATCAAAGCTGATTAAAATATCATTAGGTTGGAGTTTGATATTTTTAATTTTTAAGATAAAGTTTGATGAGTTTTTTATCATGGTGTCAGACTTACGCGTGAGAGGTTCTAGTTTATTGACCAAAAAGCCGGCTAGCTCATATGTAGATGAGTCTATAGCGCTTACTATGGGTTTGACAATAAGCGGTTCTTTTTATGGATTCTGGGCAATCCATATAGTCTAGTTGTGGTATCGCGTTTCTGGGAATCAGGATGTCTGAGAATTTGTTTTTCTTGATAAGATTGGTGGTCAGAGTTTTCAGTGAAGATATAGGGTTTTTCTTTAGTCTCTTATATATAAAATCTATGAGTAATGGCTGCATTTTATTATTATAGTCTGTTTTGTTCATAATCACCATTGTATTGCCTTTATTTGCTAAAAGAACGATAATATGTATCTTGATTTAATTGTTGCAAGGCACAGCGTTCTTATCTAGTCAGATTGTGGGTTGGCAATTTAGATTTGCTTAGTATCCCAGCAAACATTTCGGTCACAGAACCATATCCATCTGTGTCCTCAGTAGGATATGGTTTGTTAACCATGTCTGTCAACATGTGAAATGTCAAAATGCGACCAAAATGATGACAGAGTCTGCCACAAGCAAAGCGAGGCCAAATTATCGCCAAAGTGAAGCCAAAATCCGGAATAGGTTTGGTCATTGTCTGTTGGCGCCAAATTGCAAACAGTCCGCACGTATACACGAACAGACCTGCTTGGCGTTTGGTGGCAATCTGTCGTCAATGCGTTTAACAGATCAACCCGACTTTTGTCGTAAACAGATTTCTGATACAATTTTGCGGACTGTTTGGTCACAGTATTGCCAAAAGCAGATCTGCTTGCAATCGACCATCTATTTGTTGTTAATTTCACTGACATATATGGAATCGTTTTGGCTGCAATACTCTCATGTATTTGTCAACAGAGTTGTTGCGTTTTTTCTTTCTGTGTGCTAACAATTTTGGCGGTGTTTCCGTATTGTAGCATTTCTGCAAACAGTTTCTGTTACCAAGGTCTGCGCCGAAATTGTCAAAAACAGAAATTGTTTGCTGGGATGTTAGCTGTTAATCTGCGAATGTTGTTAGATTCTTGAGGGAAAAAGTGTATAGCTGTTTTTATATGGCTAATTATTGCTTCTTTTGACAGTTTAGTTAGAGCTACTGCAAAATTGTGGTTTTTGACCAAGGCCGAGAACGTTTCAGCAAAAAAGGTTTTGTTGGACAGATTCTTTACCGTGTTTAGCAAAGGACAAGCGGTGATTTCTCGTGGTGCTAAATTTTGGTACTTTTTATCTTTTGTTGAGATGAATGTAACCATATACGTTCTGATTGTTTGTATGTTATACGATCTAGTATAAGCCATAGGTCTGGTCTAGGAACGGCAGATAAATGCAAATGCAGATAAAATAGTTTCTGCAAAATATCATAAATTTGATATTTTATATGCAAAATGCGCTTTTTCACTAGTAGAAGACCGGCTTTTTGCAAGATGTTGTTTGCTTTTTTTGTACCAAGATGGTGTTTTATTGAATAAACTTCGGGAAGATGTCATTGTCCCGGCATCTTTTAAGAAAAACTAGAGTTGACAAGTGTTTTGATAGGAAAGACCTGTATTTGCTAAAGGTATTAACTTTAGATAAAATACTCTTTCCGTGGAGGTACTTAATCTGTAGTTTGATGCTTTTGCGGTGTGTTGTATTAACAACACAATGACTATATATAATTTTTAGTTCTAAGGAAAAATGACATATCTCATGTAATATCCTAGCAACAAAAAGCAGAGCAAACAAGCGTAAATAGCATGTGACAGCTTCTTGCGATTAGGTAACTGATTTTTATGGAAGTACAATTGAAAATCATATGTCTGCAGAATCTAGACCATCGCTTTTTACACGTTCATTGTTTCGCATTTCTCAATTAATAATTCGATAAATATTGAGAATTTTGCAAGAGGGCAAATGATATTTATGTTTAGATAAATCCAATGTATTTTCACACTTGGTTGTGTCAACAGTTTTTAGACATCCTGTATATATGTATGTATATATACACAATAGTTAAAATAGTCTTCTTCAGTAAAACTATCAAGCTTACGAGAGTTATTATTTACATCAAAAAAACTAGATGTTAGTCAAGCTATACAATTATACCTCATGCAAAAGTGCTTTCTCTAAATCACAAATTTGAATCTTGGCACGTGACATTTCTTGCTGTTCTTTAAAAAGCTTTGATTGCAGTTCTTCAATTTTGACAACAACAGCTTTGTATGCTTCTCTAGTAATACCATTTCTATAACATTGATCGTAGCGTCCAGGTTGTGGTGATATTGAGGATGGAGCGCTCGACAAAACACTATCATTATCTTCATGATTTCCTTCATCGTCCACTTCGGTTACTGGTTCTAACTCGAGCCACTGTCTATAAAATTCCTCTTTTTTTTTCTTATTATATAGCTGCTCTAATTTTCTTTGTCTCTCCTTATGTAAGAAAAACAAATATTTGTCTTTATGTTTTTGAAACAGGCGTGTGATATAACTATATTTTAATAATATTCAACAATGATTACTATCTTATTCAGAAAAAAAGAAAAAAAGAAAGAGAGAGAGAGAAAGAGAAAGAGAGAGAAAGAGAAAAAGAGAAAGAGAGAGGGAGAGACATAGAGAGAGAGAGAGAGAGAGAGAGAGACAGAGATTGATTGATTATGCTTTATTTATAATGCGCTCTGGGACAAATTCCCCTCAAGCGCTAAAAGAGAGAGAGAGAGAGAGAGAGAGAGAGAGAGAGAGAGAGAGAGAGAGAGAGAGAGAGAGAAAGAGAGTGTGTGTGTGTGTATGTGTGTGTGTGTGTGTGTGTGTAAATAACATTACAAATGTATTGTAGTTTATTACAAGTCAAAATTTTAAATTATTTAATTATATTTAATTTATTGTATCAGAAAAATTTCGTACCTTTACTGTCTGTCTAAGTATTTTGATAACTTTCTGCTGTTCAAGCGCGAATTTACGAAGACGCTTGACCTCGATTTCATTTATGGGTCTGTCGGATTCAATTGCGCAGACATATGACTCCAACTCCTTGAACAATATCTCATCTAAGTAGTTTGTATACTTATATGTACTTATTTATCATGAGCATAAAGTACATGAATATTTGATAAATTATAATATTTGTAAAATACTAAATTATAATATTTTTAAAATACTAATAACTTTTCATAATAGGAATAAGTGCTGCGTAAAAACAAACATTTTGTATAAGTACTTGTTTCAGAAAGATCAACGTTAAAGAAAATTATTTGTATTACCATTTAAATCAATTACATACTGTATTATCTGAAAGAATATTTTTTTCTATATAAGATGTCGGCCGATCTCTCTCGTTCTCTCGTAATTTTCGCATCTGTAAGAGCAAAAAATACATACATATATTTTATAAATACATAAACGGTCATATCTGCATATAAAAGAGAGTCGAAGAATAGGTTGCTGGAATTGAAAATGTTGTGAGATTTTTTAATAGACAGATTTGAATATTAAAATTGAAATATAGGGAAAGTAAGAAATATGAAATCGCATAATCAGCTTTTGTAAGATATTTCTGGAAGAAAAGCACTTGAAAAATAATAATGTCAACTTATTGTTAGTATTAACTAAAAAATTCTGAAATTATATTTTGTGCAAGATATATAACATAATCAGATTATTTTCTAACATTATTTGGTAACAAGTAAATAATAATATTAATTTAATTGCGTTTCCAAATAAATAGCTATTATAAGAATAAAACATCACGTTGTTAGAATGTTTTTCCAGTCTAATACCTAATATAGTACGACCTAATATAGACTAATGCTTAATATAGTACGATGTATTAGACAATATCTTTTTAATGAAATAAAAGTAATGAAAAACAATTGTTTCACCAATGATTCAGCCTTCCAGATGAGCGTTATGATCTGATGCGCAACGGACTGCGCAAAGCCGCAAAAGAAAAGAGAAGAAGAAAGAAAAATAGGATAAGAGAAGAGAAAAGCAGACGAGTAGTTGCAGCAACGATTGGATTACGGAAAGCCTGGCTGAACCGTTAACTTGGCCCCCTGACATACAGCCGCACAGCCTCTTTTATTCTCTCGTCTTTCTTCAGTTTCTTTTCTTTTCTTATAACATCAACTTGTCACAAATATATGCGAAAGATAAGCCGAGATCGAATCTTGCACACTCAGCTTATGCTTTGCGACATATTTATGACACGCGATATATCGGCATTTCTCTTTTCTTCAGTTTGGAGATCGACCGCATTGGATATAAGACATATTGGAACAGGTGAAATGAGTGCGTCACGTATTCACCGTTATTCGCGTTTGCTTATCTGTCGTTGTTTTGTGTTTCGACGTTTTCTTATATTTATTTAATATTTGTATACATTTATGTATGTATTGTAAACTTAAACACACAAACACATATACTAGTGATTCTATAAACTAATCACATTATCAACTTGTAAATAATACGCCATTAAATGACAATTTTTTTGTATGTTTTTAATATAATTTTATCATAATTATTGTGTAATGTAACTATCAAATTGCTATTTTTCAAATATTCAGAAAGTTTGTTATGATTGTAATATAAAAGTACAATCATAATAGAATTCTAGTATAATTGTAATTTTAGAAGACATTATCAAAATGTTACGAATTTTGGACAGTGACAACATTTCTCTAAGAAATAGTATATGCCACGCGACACACATTTATCTACAATTGGAAGATTACATATGTTCTGTAGAACCTGTATGTGGTGTTCCGATCATGACTCATTTCATCTCTCATATGGTTCCCGATATATCTCACTTTCACTGCTCCTCTCTCGTCTCTGCTTACAATCTCCTAACGTGTTTCTCAAATTGAATATTTTTAATGTACTATTGTTCATAAAGAATGGACAGAATTTTCTTATAAAACGTATTATTCTTGCTTTTTTAATTGATCACGATAAAGCTTCACATTTCACGTACTTTACTCGAATGTATAAAATCGCTTTTCTATCTTTGCGAACAAATAAACCTGAAACAATTTTTTTATATTATATAAATGTATTTAATGTTTTTATTATTTTTTGTTGATATTCAATACAATATCTCTTTTTATTAAATTCTGCTTATTATTCCTGCTCGTATATCTTATGTTAATTTGAAGCGCGACTTTCGCTCTTATTGGCAAGTTATATTCTCCAACTTGTTTCTACAACTAAGTAACACTGAAAAACAAGCGGCGAGTGATAAATACATGATGTAATATAATTCTTTTCTGTTACTTTTTATTAACTGCAAACACAAAATAAGCTTATGCTTATTCAGATATTGTAATAATAATTATTATTAGTATTAACTCAAATAATAACTAAAAATTACAATATAGAAGAAAAACTATATTATAAT